TATATATATAATATATATATATATATATATAAATATATATAATATATATATATATAAATTGTATATATATATAATATTAGTATAATATATATATATATATATAATATATATATAATATATATATATATATATATATATATACTTTGAGGTTTATTGGGATTTATTCAGCGGTGAAATAAGTGTACTCTTTTAACTAAGTTTCAAGCTTTCGAAAATGTTTATTTTCATCATCAGGAAAAACTGAAAATAAAGTGCGACTGTTAGTAAATCATCCTCGAAATTAGTTGTAGAAAATGGTTTTTTTAAAAAACGATAAAAACTTACGTTATTGAGGTTCGTCTTTCGTGGATGTTTCACTTACAGGTGACAATATTACGCACCACTCATTGATTGAGTCAAATTTTAAAATATTTAACACATATAAAAATTTCATGGTGTATAAGACCAAACTTAATAAATTATGATACTTTAACACATAAGAAAAAGACAGTTAAAAAAGTTTACAACGGCCACGTGTGCCGGCCAACTGTTGAATGAAAGGTTAAGAGTAACTGTCATTCCTGGACATGGCAAATGACAGTACTTCTTCTTATTTCTTTGTCTTATGTAGTACTACTATTGTTACACATCAAATTATTGACAAAGGTTGTATTGGAAAAAAACACAGAATTTAATAAAGAAACTGTGAAAAATATAACGAAACCTGGAAACTTTACAATGAATCAGTCATTGAAACATCATTGAAATGTGATGATCCATCCAAATATAATAGGTAGGAGTATATAGTGCTCAATTGATTAATGTCACTCCTTTTGTTCATTGCATTTGAGTTTTGTGCAATGAATGCCATTTCTAAAAAGAGTCTTTTATTGTAATTGGACTCCGTAGCTAAAATTTTAACTGAATCGTAATTCATAATATGATGTTCTTTATTTACATGTTCTGCCAGTGCAGATCTTTCTGGGTATAGTCTACTGTCGCTACGATGACTGATTAGGCGACTGCCTAGGTTGCGTGTGGTTTGTCCCACATATATTAAATTGCAGTTGTTGCAAGGGATTTGGTAGACAACGTTGGAACAATCTTTGATGTTACTTTTATCTTTAACCTTAGAATATATGGATCTTACCGTTAATGATGTTTTATAAGCTATTTTCAAATTGGTGACATCTTTAAAAAGTCTTGTTAGTCTGGGTGTTATGCTTTTGATGTATTTCAGTGAGGTATATGAGCAATTGGTATTATGTTCTCCATTTGTGGCATTGATTTGTATCTCATCATTTCGGCGTGTTATGTTAGGGGTCAAACTAAATAGAATTTTGGTGACTAAGGGTTTTGGATATGAATTGTCCATGAAAAGGTTGAACAGGATTCTTAGGTTCTTCTGGTGGAAAGAAGGGTCACTGATGGAAATGATTCTAGCCTTCATTTGTTTAAGTAGGTTGATTTTGATTGAATGTCTATGGTATGACCAATAGTTGAGGAAGCGTCCAGAACTAGTTTCCAGGTTTCGTTATATTTTTCACAGTTTCTTTATTAAATTCTGTGTTTTTTTCCAATACAACCTTTGTCAATAATTTGATGTGTAACAATAGTAGTACTACATAAGACAAAGAAATAAGAAGAAGTACTGTCATTTGCCATGTCCAGGAATGACAGTTACTCTTAACCTTTCATTCAACAGTTGGCCGGCACACGTGGCCGTTGTAAACTTTTTTAACTGTCTTTTTCTTATGTGTTAAAGTATAATAATTTATTAAGTTTGGTCTTATACACCATGAAATTTTTATATGTGTTAAATATTTTAAAATTTGACTCAATCAATGAGTGGTGCGTAATATTGTCACCTGTAAGTGAAACATCCACGAAAGACGAACCTCAATAACGTAAGTTTTTATCGTTTTTTAAAAAAAACCATTTTCTACAACTAATTTCGAGGATGATTTACTAACAGTCGCACTTTATTTTCAGTTTTTCCTGATGATGAAAATAAACATTTTCGAAAGCTTGAAACTTAGTTAAAAGAGTACACTTATTTCACCGCTGAATAAATCCCAATAAACCTCAAAGCTTCGTTTTCTAACGTTGTCAGCAAAGACTCCTATATATATATATATATATATATATATATATATATATATATAATATATATATATATATACTCCTATACATATATATATATATATATATATATATATATATATACAATTTATTATTTATAGAATATTCTGGAGTAGCCCACCTCTAATTCGTCTCATTGAAAGCGCATCGAAGACGTGCGCTATTAAATGCCAACCCTTCCAGTTTGTTAGATTTATCGTTCTAAGAATTATGACACATCGGATATGGGCTATTTCGTTACACTGCTCCCTCTTAGATCTGAGCGTTCCGATCAGCAAAAGTCCTAGGATGGCGGAATCAACAGAACTCTCCAGCTTTGCATGAACCCCTCAAGAAGAAATAACCATCTGCAGACTTTGAAGGACACGATTTCTTCGGGTTAATACAACACACAGTAATTCGTACGCCGCTTTCTCGGAAGATCACTTCAAGCATGCTTCTGTCAATCTTCCAATCCAGATTTTTTAGTGCATGGCCTATCTTTGATAAAGCCAAATTCTTGATGTCATAATTGCACACGATTTTCTTCAAATTAGTTAGAGCACGCCATATATCCTCGTAGTCTGTATATGACTTCCTGGTTACCATATACAGCAAAGATCGAGAACCATCTTCTAATCTCAGTACTCTTCCAACTTTAGGCTGCTGGTTTTTTAACTCGTTCAAACGACCGAACTTCTTATAAAATACAGATGACATTCCTTTAGCCATCTCAACACAGTGGGCTAGAGAAACGTTATGCGGAACACTAAAAAGATCCTGCTGAACTTCTGTCGTCACACCGAATCTAGCACTCTTTCTCTATGTGTAATTTGACATAAATTCATTAAAGCTTGGTCGCTGGTCATCTTTGATCTCATGTTGAAGGGTTCGTGCTTCTTCTGTTTCATTTGAGCGCCAGCATATGGTGCAAGACGATTTATGTGAACTACTTTTGGTGTACCTTTCGGCAACTTCTTAATTCGGTATATTATGTCATTTAATTTTTTAATTTCATACGGACCTTCCCATTGTCTTTGCAATTTAGGAGACAAGTCTCGACGATTTTGTGGATTATAAAGCCAAACAAGATCAACTACTTCATAGCTTTCATTCTTGTATCGAGAATCATATTGATCTTTCATTCTGTGACTGGCTAACTGCTGAATGCATGAATACTGAATGAATGTTCTTAATTCTTACCTTCAGGAGGTCGACATAATCTTCGCTTGCAACATGTTCTTCGGAAGGTCTGCAGCCAAACTCTAGGTCGCGTAATTTTATTTTTTTTATCGTATTGCTGTAATGAACGTGCTATGTCAGTTTCGATTTGTGAAATCTTTTAATTTCTGGAATAAGTGTTTTTTTAATGTATTTGTACGCCATTTTTGTAATGCTGAAATTGTTTTAGTTTACTCCTGATGATGCTAAAAAATAAATAGCGAAATATTGAGTTTTTAGAAAAAACGAAAGATTTTTATATAGATCACTTTACCTGATAATTTTCTACGTATTTATAAATTATTTTTTGGTTATAATATATTATATATAATATTATATATATTATATATATATATATATATATATATAATATATATATATATATATAACACTGTTTTTGATGGGTTGGAGTCAATAAAAGGGGCTATTTGTTGACTATTTTTTACTCGAGCTTTCAATTGTGATTACAATTTTTATCAAGAGCTTCTAAAAAATACAAAATGTCTTACAAAGTTGAACTAGAAATAAAAAATTTTTTGTTAACTCACCAAATAAAATTAGTTTTTTATATAAAACTACTGCTTACATAATAAATACAAAAAATATTAATAAAAAAATGTCTTATTCTAATAAATGTTTCTCTGAAAAATTTAGATGAAGTTTCTTAAGAAAAAAAATTGAATTTATAAACAAAAATAGAATAGCTACAACCAGCCTAAAATGTCATAAATACTAACTTAAAAATTTTTATTTTTGACATATTGTCAAAAATAAAATTTTGTTTAAAAAATTCTTCTTTGTTTAGTAACAAAAAAGAAGAAGATTTATTCACCATTGATAGATGCCCGAAAAAATGTAACAAATACATGGAAAATTCAAAATGTGATATTTTACTGACTGCATAAATTAAATAGAAATTATATAATTATAAATTTTGCTTAAATTTTGAATTTCTGACCTTTTGTTTAAATTATTATCACTTTTGCTAATACAAACCATTTCCAAAAAAGTTCTTTTAAATTTATTACTTTCATTACATAAAATTTTAATATTATCAAAATCCATAATATGGTCTTTGTCTATTACATGCTCTGCCAAAGCACAAGATGGTTTCTTAATTCTACAATCACTCTTGTGAGAAATAATGCGATTATTTCTTACTCTTATATATATATATATATATATATAATTATATATATATATATATATATATATATATATATATATATAATTATATATATTATATATATATAATATAATATATATTATATATATATTATATATATAATATATATATATATATATATATATATATATATATATATTAGGGTGGAGCGTATTTGTAATTTCGAATATGGTATTTTTTTTAGGTTTTTTATTTTGTTTTGACAGTATCCGCTCCATCGCCACGAAATTTTTTTAATAATTTTTTTTTTGAAAATCATTCCTGAACCCTAGTAATTGGGAAACATACTTTATTTTGAAGTGATGTTAAATTCTTTTTAAGACATTTCCTTTGTATCCAAAAGTTTCCCTTTTATAGTGATTTTTGATACCCTCCACTACTATTCACAACAATTCCAGTCCTCAATAAATTAAAATACTAAACTAGACCAAAGTATTTATTATTTTTTTATTTTTTACTACAAGAAATTTAAACTAACGTATGTGTACAATATTTACAGGTTTGAAATAAAATATTTCTTGCTTTCAAATGACGGCATGATAGACCTTGAAGCTAGTTGGTTTCTAATTAGTCCATCTCGTCTTTCATATCCACAAACTGTAACAGATGCTTCAGTTACCATTTTGACAGCTCTTTCCACGGCCTGTGTGTGACAAGGATACTTTTTTATATAAGAAATTTCAGATTTCTCTGGGTCCTCTACTATTTCTTTCAACTGGGCATCTGTCAATCGAGCAGTTATGGGTGGCTCAGTCCATAGGATGGTTTGGCAATCTACTAGTTCATAGTAGTTTTTAGCCTTAAAGTTGAAGTCTGGAACTGCGAAACTACGAATATTTAATTTACCATCGCTTACGGTCCTATACTTTAAAATTCTGCAATAAGCTAGATGTCTTATATGTTTGCGCTCATCCCACAACATAGAAAGTAATATATTTTCAGGGTGTCCAAAAAATCCGTTTCTATTAATTACTTTGAAAACAACATTTTTTAAATCTTCGGGCAAATAATGGCATAGTTCAATATACTTGAATATATGTTGTGCGCCATAAATGCATGAAGATTTTGTTTTGATCAAAAACCACATTGGAGCGTAAACTTTAATTATAAATGTTGCCAATGAAACTAAATTCTGAGTCGGGTTTTCGGTACTAACATACAAGCGAAGGATTCGGTTAGCAGTAGTTAACCAACGGGAATGAACTAGTTTTCCAGGGTCACGTTTGGAAAGAGCTTCGGAGCAACTGCCGTTTATTATTGATGAACATATTTGATGTAAATAGTTTTGATCCGTACTCAATTTAAAATCAGATGTTATATCAGGTAGTTCTGATTCTATCCTAGAAAACTCCACAATAGGAAGCTTTTCGCAATTATGTAAAAGCGTTCCAATGTGTCCACGAAATGCTCGAGGGCCAGTTGTCTCACCATCAAGATGCTGTAGCAAATGTCGTAAAGGAAGTTCGTTCGCATGCAATTGGCAAATAAACCACTGCAAGGGCCGCCCAATTGTTTTTTCCAACAACGAAATAATTCCGCCCTTACTTCCTACATTGGTATTTGTTCCGTCACATCCAATTACCTCTAAACTGTCTAATGAAATCGAAGAGATTTGAAAAAAAATATTAAATGCGTCTAAGATATTTGCTGCCGTTCCAGAGATAGGAGATACATGGCCCAAATATTTTGAATCAGGTTCTTGTATTAAACTAATGTGTTCTTCTACTATTGTTCTTTTCCTATTATCGTCAAAAGTCAATGTTTTATCTTTACGACCATCGAAGTACAAACCAAGCAAAACTATTGATTTTGAGAATCTTTGAAGATCTGTCCTATTTTTTTGTCTTGCGCGTCTCACTTTGTGACGGTCAATAATATTTTGAGTGTCTTCGTTGTTGACAATTCCGTAATCTTGTAACACTGCCGAAGCTATTGCAGCACCTGCTCTGTCTGACACCGCGTATCTATCAAGCGTTTTAGCTAACTCAGAGAGATTCCTTGTGTTACGTTTGGTCGGTTGTAATATAGTTTGTTCATCAGAAATAACGGCAGATTGCTCCTTTTTCTTTTCATGTTGGGTTACCTCATTTCCGTCGATATTGTTAAATCCCGGTTCAATTTCTACTTCCAAACCATCTACTTGTCTGTTATAAGAGGATGTGCTAGCTTTTGCGTCATCGATTATGTTGTTTTCTTTGTCACACTTACTTCTCATTTCCCGTTTTTGTTGTTGCCGAACAGCTTCAAAATCTACAGAGCCAATTATCATTTGCCGACAGGACCTCTGGTCTTGGAGAAATGGGCGTTCCTTTATTGGAACCTAAAACAATATTGAAGTTCATACATTCCTGTAACGACTGGTTTAAATACCAATTATGTATATTAAATAATAAACTTATTTCCTTACCTTGTTCTGCTTTAAACACAAACATGAATTAAAATTGTCGCATTTACATGCAGCAATGTCAAACAATCGCAAACTGTCTTTCTTAAACACATCCAATTTTGATTTGTAAGAAACGGCGTCTTTTCTTTTTAAATAGGGCTTCAGAAGGTCTTTTCTCTTTTTCTGGTATTCTTTAGTTAATGCTACAATTCTTTGATGGCTTACAATTGGAATTGAAGCAGATTTCCAAATATCTTCAACCTTCTGAGCAACAATTTCTGAAGCCTCTGACACAAGAAGATTTCGATTAGTACCATTATTTTCCAAATTATATCGAACCCATAAAAAGTATTTTATTACATCACAAAACGTGGGTAAAATAGAACATTGTAACTCTCTTGGTACACCAAAAAGGGGGCACTCTATTGCACTTCTTGTATTTTTAGACATTTTAAGTTAAAGTTAAGTTAGTAAAAAGTAGTAAGTAAAAAAATGATTAACGTGTAACACTCTTCGCTGTATCTAGGCGATGACTAACGGTGTTCGGTGTAGCGTCTAGTAGTTCGTCTTTGTCGTGCAAGTCACAACAAGTTTCAGTGATACAGGCCCGGCCTCTTATTAAACGCCTACTACCATACTGGCCCGTAATATCACTTATATTATTTCAAGAAAAAAAAATTATATATATATATATATATAATATATATATTAATATATATTATATATATATATATATATATATATATATATATATATTGTAGCATAAACCTGACGTGTATGTCATGATCTGACAGACACAGACTTATAGTTTATATTTATTTCCAAAAGCTCGATTTCGCTGACTAATTCTGCCAACGAAGTTATACAATCATTTTTCAAATTTGCTTTTATCATTTTTCTTGTCAAAATTACATTCAAATCCAATCCATATCTGGTTATTGAGTTATTTCGGCGGTTTGTAAAAATTTGTCAGCCGAAATACGTTCATATTTCATATTTTCGTCGCAAACACCAATTTTCTCGGTTTATCGTAATTTATGTTCCGGAAAAAACGAAAGAGACAAATTCAATAAAAACTGACAAACTGTTTAAACCCGATTAGGGACGATGTTACAGATTTACAAAAGCTTATTTCCTTTTCTAAGTAGTCGTCATCGTAATTTATATCAGTGGAAGATTGAGAGCAGAGAAAAAAGGGGAAGAGGGAAGCCGAAAAGGCAATATCAATTATAAACATTAATCTCCTACGAAACGGTAATTGTTAATTTACCACAGAGACGACGGGGCGTTCTGGCCTCTGAGTGGTTTTGATGGAAACGGAAAAAAATGTCCCTGTGTCGATGGACGGGGAGCTGGTGATAGTTTGTGGCTTTATATGTCTTAATTTAATTAATTTTTTTTTATCAATTTTTTTGTTTTAACACTGTATTATAAAATAATATTATACAGTGGTACATGCTTAACACTTTAAAAGCTTGGAAGCTCCTTTTGGCTTCTCTCGTCCAGTTAAGCTTTAGTATTCAGTTTTTTTATTGATTATTTTCTTCTCCCATAAAAAACATCAACAATACCCAGACGATCAAACAGTTAAACCAATTGACCAAGTACTTATTGTATTGTGACCAATACGACAGTACAAAATATATAATACAAGTGTAATACTGTAATATAATACTCAAATTAATATATAGTACTCCCTCCTCCTCTTATCTTGAAGCATGTGATTAGGTGAGAAGATAATGCAACAATCAGAAAAGTTTTTGGCCGAACTAAAACCTGGACTTATCTGCTTCTGAGTGCTTACTGTCTCCCTTCGAAAGTTGACGATGCAATTGCTATAGTTACGCGCGAAAGGGCGGCTCTGAAGATCTCGATCGATGTTTTGTCGAGCCAACGTCGCAGGTGCTTTAACCAAGAACTCTGTTTTTTTCTTATTGACAATTTCCCAATATTTTTCTTACCATGATCAACCCAATTATTTTGTATCTATCTCCCCACATTACATATATCCAATGTACGTTAGGTTACACCAGTTCTTTATTTTTCTGCATTCAAGAACTTCGGTTTTTGTTGTTCTTTTAGTCCAGGACAACTTATAGAATGACAAAATCTAAAAATCTATTGAAGTTAAGGTGTGGAGAAGAGTTAACCGAGATAGGGAAGGATGGAGGAATTTAAAGAAAAATGTTGACAATGAGCAGAAAAAGTGTTAACAATATTAACCGAATCACTTAATTGTAAATTACTTTGTTCTAATAACTTTATTAGATCTGGTAAAAAACTAAAATGAACTTTTATGAACATAAGTTTCAGCAATTTGTACGTTATTTGAAAGTTCTTGACTTTCATTTACACAATGTGAGTGATTTTGAATATCTAATACAACGTCTTTTATGGCATTAAAATTATTTGCGTAAAAAATTACTTCTTTAATACGTGTTCACTTTCTTGTTATTACGGGCTCTAGAGGCAAGCTTATACCTGGTAATGTTTTTTTAGTTTGAAATTATTTTATTGACTAAATCAAATTCACTTCTACTGTGCTACTCTGTTCATGCCATGTAGAACAGAAGTGACTTGCACCATTTTTTGATAAAATATTTTCAAATGTTTTCCTATGTGTACCATATACGAAGATATACATTGATATAAACAAATATTTGGTGGTAAAGACGTAGTATCTCTTATAAGAATAGGAAGACTAAGATGGGCAGGACATCTAGCAAGATCACAGCAGAACAACACTCCTAGAAGAATCCTTATGTCACAACCCGTGGGAAGTAGAAAAAGGGGTAGGCCAAAACTCAGATGGAAGGATGGTGTAGATGAGGATGGTAGAAAGATAGGCGCAGCAAACTGGCAACGGTTGGCAATGGATAGGACTGCCTGGCGTAATAGACTTGGGAAGGTCGAGGCTCTTTCATAGGGCTGTAGCACCATTGATGATGATGACCATATACGAAGCTGCATCTGATAAAAATATGTACTAAAAAAATGTTCAGTTTTTATTTCTTTTGGCAAAAAGAAAACAGATAGTGTTTGCTGAATGAAACGGCTTACAGTTATATTATAGATTTTCTTCAGTTGTTTTGCAGCTATTAAATAAGGTTTTTTCGTTTACTTTCAGCGATAATTACGTACAAGTTGTTATCACTTAAGAAACTTTAATTTCGTCAATTACTCTGTCATACAATCCATTCACATTGTCCTTTATTGGTGTTGCCTCGTTAGGAATATTGAAGTTACAATATTTTTGCAAAAATTGCCTAAAATGTGTATTTTGCAATTTTTTTAACGGAATGTTTGTTGCTAACAGTGCTTTACACAGGACTTGATTAATCAACATTTTTTCTTTTCTGATTCATCTTGATCTTGAACATTTGAAGAGATGTATGAATCGACTGTTGAACTGGTTGTAATGCAATCTTTTTTGCTTCAACTTATGAATCGCAGTTTTTAAATGTTGGTCGATTTGAAACTTCTTCTCACTTAACCTACGATTTTGGAACAGGTCTTGTAAGATAATTTGTCTCCACTTAGCTTTAACTGGTGAAAACACTGTATCTAAACACTTTTTTGATGGTAGACATATTTAAATTGAATCTATACCAAACACTAAACACAATACAACGTTTAGTTTAAATAAATGTTTGCCTGAAACTGACAAAATAATTATACCCTTAAAAGCACGTAGGTATTTATAACTTGCTACGCTAATAAATCTTACTCATAATAATCTTACTCATAATCATTAAATTCAGATAGTAATGGGGTTCAGATAGCTAACATCGATAGATAATGAGCTTGTTTATATCCAAGTTATGAATACAATTCGAACTAAACTAAGAGAGGAAAATTTTAAACTTTTATATAAGAGTCTACCAGTTTTAAATTAAGATAGTTGTCTACTTAAGATCCTTCCTCCTATGTTTTCACTTCTCTTTCTAATTATTTTTTTGGCATCTTGCCTAACCTAGTGTTAACAGATAACAAGAAGGTAATAATAAAAAATTCAGATAAAAATAGTTGATGATGATGCGGTGTAATTGATACTTTTAAAGCTCTGCTGGTTATCGATGCATCCTGAGGTTTTGTTCTTTGTCAGTGAGTTTTTTGCATACATATTTTTTACATCAGCACTTTAAAATCTGTAAATATATCTGAGTGTACATATCGATGGTGTAGCACACAAATGTTGTAAGTGCTAAAGTTACTGTTTTGAGAAAAATCGGTTTGAAGTTTAAACCTTTGTATTAAATCACGAATCCCTAAGAAAATCACAAATTATCTTCAATAACGTCAAAAGACAATCAAATATCAGTTTAATTAATAACATTTAAAAAAAAATGACTTGTAATGTTTTTGTTAAATACTTTGTTACTTACCACCTTTGTGCATAACCATTACTTGGGAAACATGTTCAATTTATGTTACGGTGAACAGATGATAAAACACAGGTTTTGATTCAAATAACAACAAACAATTAATCTCAACATTTTTCTTTAAATGAAATAACAAAATGTGTTAAAAAAAGAATTAAAACAGAATTTGTATATTAAAAAAAACTATTCGTTGTCGTCCGGTAATAATGTTTCATTAGTAACAGGAATGTCATTAATAAAATGAGCGTAATCTTGTGGAATAATACCACAATTTAAAAGAGATAAGAGATCCTTCTTCTTTTTTTGGGATACCGGCAATCTGTGGAAATATTTTTGGGTTAGTGCTAATGACTCCCAAGTTTGTGACCTTCCTCTTAGTTTCCTTGTATCAGAAACATCTATGGTTAAAAAAGTATCATCATACAAATTGTATTTATATTTAATTAAAAAAGGATCTTTTTTCTCAAAACGAATCCATTTAATTTTCAGCCACTGAACCTTTTCTTTATCTGTATTTAAAGTATTGTTAGGAGTCATAAGATCGGCAAGTTTCTGTAGATCATAAAAATCGTTGAAATTTAAATTATGTACACAGTATGGTTTAGGTTTTACTCTTGCAGCTGAAATTAGCACAGACCACTCTCTTGTAGAATATATTTTTTTATGCTTTCTTGCTCTTTCGATTGTGGCGTGCATCGAATCAGCTTCCAAGTAAGAGTGCCCTGTCTCCATAAATTTTAAATCGAAAACTTCCAAATGTTTAATTGTATTTACTGCATAGAGCAATGCGGCTGACACATACTTATTCCTGTTCTGGCCTCCACATGTATCACTGAATGTAGAAACATGCGTCACAGTTTCCGATAAGCTATACAAGTATTTAAGAAGACACGTTCCTATTTCTGTACTGCCTTTTTTCCCATGGGTTTCGTCCCATACATAACAATGACCTGTTGCATCTGACGCATCAAAAATTGTAAAATTATATACATTTAGCTTTAACTTATAAAATATTTGATTGTCTCCCGCAAATGGCACTGACAAAATTGCTTGTAAGTCAAATGTTGCGGCTCTAAAAGTTTGTCCTTTTTCTCTAGCGGCTCTTTCCTTATCTTCAGATTTCATCCGCATTGCATCCTTTTCTCTCTTTTTGTGACTGTCAAATTCCTCTTTTAATGGCTCCTTGTCTTTAGCAGTATTGTAAGCATTACACTTAAAACACTGGTCCTTTTTCGGAATGAAAAAATCCAATGCTGGGTCATATTTGTGGAATATCTTCTGATAAACAAATTTAGAAACCTTGGTCACGTTTCGATTTTCACAGAAGCCAATGTATAATCTGTACATTTGGGATAAATTTAAATCTGAAGACAAATACTGTTTCGTTGAATCTCGCCGGCAATAGTGTGATTCCACACGTGGAAAACTATCAATGTGTTCCTTGACAAGCAATACATCTTGTTCCTTTGTAACATTATGAGGTCTTTTACCTTTTCTTTTATCAAATCCAGTGTAGGTGTGTGTATTACCCACATTTTTCATACATGTTTCAATTACCCGATGGGAAATATTAAATGTTTTACAAAAAAAATTTAAACACACTCGAATTCTCAAGCCTTCGAAGTTTTTTAAATAAAAAATCCTTGAAGTTTTACGCCTTGACTGTTCTACTTGTTGTTTTCTTCTTTTTATTGGAACATCGGTCACTAATGAACTCAGGTGTAATTTTTGCTTATCATAGTCGCCCATTTCCCAGTATTCGCGACAAATAATTATTCTTAGTTCTTCAGTAATATTTTTTTCACATTTATACCTACATTTGGTGCAGTTAACGGGCAAAGGCTTCTTTTCTTCAACTGTTTTTCCACTCCTGTTTATATATTTCTTTCCACTAAGCCTATTTCTTTTTACAATGGACCTTTTCCATAAAAACTTATTACCTTGTTTTCTCTTCTTTGTTTTATTGTTTTGTTGTGCGAGCTCTTCCCGGTGTTGTTCAAGGGGCTCTTCCATTATCTGGTCCTCATCTAAGCTTAATTCTGAATCTGAAGGTACGTATGACTCACTAGAACTTTCAAAAGGGTCTCTTTCACTTTCACTGTCATTGTTTGATGCACCCGAAAACATTTTTGCAGTCCCGGATGTGCTAGGAAGCTCACTTTGTAATCTGCTCACATCTACAAACAAAAATTACAAATGTATAAAATAGGGACTATTAGTTACCTAAATTAACCATTTTTTAAATTTATTTCATATTATTTATGAGGTTTTCTCTACAATTACTTGATATAATATTACTTACTTATACTTTCCGTGGATAGAATAACCTCAGACGTACTTGTGGAACTTTCCTTTTGGTAATCAATTATACCAGAATCTAGAAAACAAAACTTTTACTTTTAAAATTAAACGTGTCTTATAAATAACGTACCAGTTTTCCTTTGCATTAATGCCAATTCTACTATTTTTGCCACCCTGGAAGTCATTTTATCAGAAGCAAGCACAAAATACTTTTGTCACTCAGTAAACAATATTTTATAACCTCAAAATTAACACGTGTAAAGTGGTAGGTACACCATTTGTTGGATAAACCGTCAAAGAAATACATGCACAAATGTGGTAGGTGATTTTACAACAAGTGCGCATACAGATTTTAAGTGTAAAGTACTTATACTGAATGGCAGATGGCGCTAGAGGTATTAAATTTATGGATTTAATCTACCACCTTTGTGCATAATAATTCTATAGCTTTAAATATACTTACGTGATACTTAACTCATTTTTCCTACAGATTGCACTTACAACATTTGTGCGCTACACCATCGATATATAAAACATCAACCATAATCAAATATAAAAAATCCAATCGAAAATTTATCTAACTAACGGATTGGAATAAACGAAATGTATTATAGAAATCAAGAACACCCACCGGTCTTGCACCCGCTAAAAATATCTCGAAATTACTTCATTTCTATCGACACTAATAATACACTAAACCGTACAATTTCTATTACGGTAAATTTTGTGAATGCATTAGGTACGCGTTCTGAACATTAAACCAGCATTTTCCGGCCATCGGCCTTCTGACTAATTCTTTGCCATAATGGAGAACGAAGACAGCGACAATATAAAATTAATTACATTTCATTAGTCGTTTCGAAATTAAGATGCTTGGAACAACGTCGGTCATTAATCAGGGGACCAGAAAAATAGGACGAGAAATGGAGGAGTGACTAAAGAATTGCCGGGACAAGACGAAAATATCTTTAAATTAATTTAGTCAGTTTATGGTATACGTGTTTACTTCATATTTATCTCCTTTTTTGGGCTTCTATGTCTCTTTTTTAAAACGCACAGGCCCGCTGAGGCTACATTAATATACACACTGTCATTATAGTGCACGTACATTGTATATTATTATATACCATGCGGTTCATATGCATGGAATAAATTCATTTTTAGTTTTATTATGCACTATGTGAAAAAAACCTGAAACAGGTCGATTTTTATTCTTAAATTGACAATTTACAGTATGAAAATATTATCCCCTCCAGCACTCCCTTTGAATTATAAGCACCTCCTCGAAAATTTTAAATAACAAAGGGGGTCGTGTGGCACCTTCTTAGAAAGGTATTTTAGCCTCTGTTCAGCAATATAAAGTTTTTGAGTTTGTGCAATCATAATTAAGAAAATTGATTTTTACAATAAATTAAATTAAATGTTCAACTTGACCACCATTATTCACTTCTTGATAATGACCGAGGCGATTTTGGAATTCTCGTATAACATTTTGTATGACCTCGGGGGTTATTTTGTTAATATCTTCCGTTATCCTAACTTTTAAATCAGCAATATTGCCTGCCTTAATCAGCAATTAAAATATACTTTAGAAATAATCAGGTATTTTCGTATCTGGTCTGCTAAACATTAAAGAAAAAACTATAAGATAATAAAATATTACCTTATAATTACCACCACTTTGACTAAAAAGCGCTTAAAGCTCAACAAGTGGGTTCAAATAAAAAATTGATTGAATTCTTCCTAAATAAGTGTGGGAAACAAAGTTCCTTACTTTTATAATATAAAAAGTTATCTTAGCCACTATATAAGCAATAGTGATAGTAATTGAGTTTCCCAAGCAACTTTTATAAAATGTTGATGAACCTTCCGACGGTTGAACAAATCGGCAATTTCATAACACTGATTTGTTTGTGTTTTACTTCATATTTCTTAACAAATATCTCAACAGTTTCGAATCTTCGAGACAAGAAGGAACTTTAAAGCAAAAGAAACGATCTCCTATCCCTATTGATTTCATATAACATATTATTTTATGTTGTAATCTTAAGTAATCGTTAAATGTAATTTACGAAAAAGTTGCGTAGTCACATAAAGAAAATCTCATGTAGCGTAATGAAAGAAAATATGGATTGATTTTAAAATAACATACACTAACGACACCTACCTACGTAGACAATATATTTTCATTTTAATAAATTCCAATTGAAAACCTACATAGACACTGTTCAGTGAACTTAACTTCATTAATTCTAGCCCATTATACTGAAATATTTTACTTCGTTTTATTCCAGTGCTGCTTTAATAATTGATGTTCCTTTTTAATTTAAAGTTAAACAGTTCTTGACATCATTTGATATGAATGTCAAAGGTCTTAATCGAAACTTTTCATGCAGATAATAAATATTAACTGTTGATGATTAGAGAATGTAAAATATCTCGTGCATTTATTTTAATTTCGTATAAATATTTACTTTTTCATTTATGTATACGGATGTTAAATGTTTTAGGTAAAGATAATAAATTAAGATGATTCGGCGTTTTGTTGTTATATAAAGTTTGTTTCATAAATGTATACAAAATTCGAATTAAGTAATATTATAGTATTATCTTATATACTAAAACGCTAAGCCCTTTTCTTGTCCACCACTTTACTCAAAAACCATATTAGATAATTAAAATATTTTTTCGGAATATTATTAGTATTACGTATGAGATTGTCAAGATATACTTTTGGTACAAAAATTCACTTCCGGTTTTGAGATGACCGGAAGTTAAAATTTACTTTAAGTTTTAGACCCCACAATGTATATATGGATCGAAAGGTCTCGTCGAGACGAATCTAAATATGTACTTCCGGTTGCGATCCGACACCGGAAGTGACCCGAAACGCGCATAAAACGTCAAGATAGAGCAAATCTGACACCGGATTCGTGATCAGCATGCAAAATTAACTGCTAAATGATATCCATGTCGACATTTGATGAACTAAAAATTGCATTCCGGTTTTGAGGTCGACTTCCGGTTTCGTTTTTATTAAAAAGTAAAAAGTAAAAGTTTACATAACTCCCGGTGCCAAGCAAAAGTTTTCAGAAAATGGAGACATTGTAACAAAAAACATTGTTTTCGACGAAATATTTCGTGATATTTAATACACTTTTTACTTGCATTATTATTGATGAATGTTATGTATATTCTTGCTTATATTGTTTGTATTGATCTCTTAATTTTTCTCGCAAAATAAAAATTTCATTTAAAAAACTCGATGTCGAGTTGGTCCGCTAGTAGATTACTAATGCGAGATCACATCAGCGCATCTTCCTTTCTCTTGTAGTCTTAAAAAACTCTAGACCAGAAACATTGGCAGTCAATCGGTTTCTAATGCTGTTTTTGAGAAGCTTCACAGTAGAAAACACCTGTTCACAGATGTAGGAAGATGCAAACATCGCAATTATCTTCTGAGCATGCAATTTTAGGTTTGGGAAACTTGCTTTTGACAGGGACTAATAGAACTCAGTTTTAGAACCGTTGAGAAATTGTTGCTTCAAGTCAGTGTTACATTGCAACTCAATAAGTTAGAGCTGCAATTGTGGTTTTACTGATTCACAGTCCACATATATGATTAATATATAATTGATATAATTGAAAATATATTCAATTTAATTTTGAAAGCGCTGATATTACGCTAAATATTTTTGATTAAATATTAATTGATTTCTCTTTCAAAAAAATTACGTATGGTGAGTACCATGTAAAGAAAAAAAAATAATAAAAAATAATAAATAATCTTTCCAACCTAATAGTAGCTTCTGCTGAGAATTTAATTTTCGTTGAACAAGCTTTGTATAAAATATTTGAATTGTACACAACAGGGAGAGCAAGTTTTAGTTTTCGCAAAGCATTAATTTTAACAGTTTATATCCATTAAAAAAGTAAATAATTCAGACACGGCGATAACTTGAAATAACCCAAAAATAATAACCACGGCACATACTAAATAAACAAATACCCAATATTAGAGCAACCGATTCGGTCTCGACTCCCGCCTCATCATTAATTCAATATTTACACAAATTTTGATTATGTATTGAAGGCTCCCATGTCAAACATTGCATTATTACGCGATATTATTGAAACTGTTTGATATAAATATGCCGACCGATAAATGAAGATAACCATATGATTAATAAATAAACGGGTAGTTCCATCGTTTCATTCATTATGATTCAAACAGTTGCACCTGCCATGTCACGGTAATGGAAAACAGTTTTATTCGGATGTTATTAATAGACCAGTTAATGTTTAATTATTGTGATACAAGCTATAGTATATTGTACAATGAGTATGAAATGATCCTGATTTCCCACGAGTCTAATTTTGTATAGAAGGTCAGTGTGCTCGACTCCGATAAAACCTTGCGCAATATCCAAAAATGCTGCTGAGCAGAATTTTTCTTTTCTAACGATTTGTTTTTCATTGTTTTTAAAAAGAAATACAAAAACTTCAACATCTAAAAGGGAGTTACTATCAACAAGTCTTCGTAAACACTTTGTGTCAGGATTAGTAACCTCCATTGGAGTCTTCCAATCTCTTATCCATTCCTGTTGTAACTTTACAACATTCAAAGTTTATTTAACAACATTTAAAGGGTTTTTACCCTTTCACTGATGATGGAATATGAATTCCTAAAACGTTCTGTGATGTAGCCCAATAGGGTTTTTAATATTATACCTTTTATAAACGAATTTTTAAACAAATTTTTTAAACAAAAAAGAGTACAGTAGTGTCAGTTCGATGTATTCTGTTGAAGTCAAAGGCAGTGACGTAAATAGTCAGTTCGGTGAACGGAAACAAAAAGAGTGCAGTGCAAATAACATAAATACTTACGTTAAACACTTCATATCTTATTTATATAGACCTGATGAAAGAGAAACAGAACAATATTCAAGACCTAAGTGAACAGTACAGTAAGTTATACACAAATAAAACACCCAAATTACGAATTTGGGTAACATACTCAAACAGCACTTCATCTATTAAGAGAAATACCTATTTGTTATAGTGTTGTTTGTTTCTATAGTGTTGTTTGTACTTCAAACTATTTGTACGACCAAAAACGACCATAAGCAAACATTATTTAGATCATGCTGCAAATCCTGACTATCTGCATTATTATACAATTGGC